ATAATTAGGAATTTTATATTTAGAAGTTACTGGTAAACTAAAAACAATGGAATTTTGAAACTAATAAAGACTATGATATTTTAGATTTTAGAATTATTATCAAGTGATCACTAGAAATAACTTTGACAAAAAATAGAAACATAAATTGCGAAAGTTAATATTTAACTAATAGGTTGCTGAGATATAATAATTAAAAAATTCGGTGAATAAGATTAGAATAAAACTTTATTGTTAGGAAATAGTTGATTAAATTCTTATTGAAGATTTACGTTTAACTTTTATTTTAAGGGCTGCGAGAGATAAAACAGCCTCAAGGATTAATGTGAATTAGTATATTAGGTTGTAGATTAACCAAAAAATCTTCATAGAGAGAATCGGCTTTTCGTCATTAGAAAATTTATGCCGCAATCGAGCTCAATTTGAGATCGGATATTTATTTTTTTTGAATCATAAATAAGATTTGAGATCAATTATGCAACATTATTCTAATAATAACAGAAAGAAAAACATGCGTTAGAAATATACATATCAGTTTTCAACAACGGTTGTGCGAAAAATTATAATGATTAGAGTTCATAAGTTATTCAAAGACGTGGGGTGAAAACCATAGTGATTAGAATTAAGAGGTTGTTCATAAACGTAAGTATGAAAACTTTTATGATTAGGTCATTGATTTCTCAACAACGTATGTGAAAAGAGATTTATATATTTCAGCAGTTTTTTTTAAAGAGAGTGTCAAAGAGTACATGAGGAAATAAATACACAAATAATTTTTTTTAAAAAGATAGGTTTTTATAGACATGGCTGAAAAGAAGATATAGCTAAAGGATGAGTACAAGTAAATTTTTCAATGAAAATATGGGTCTAGGCTTCATTAAGGGGAGAGGGGTGATAGAATGTGATATATTTATATAATTTATTATATTTTGCTACGTATTATAAAATTTAAGATTTAGTATAATTTACGCCATTTATTAAAGGCAGAATGAGTTTAGAGGAGATAAATGTAGATATGTAAATAGATTATTTTAGGTAGAAGTAGATTAGATGTGATTAACCGATATCTCAACAAGGGCAAACTGTCGTAGAAGACCCGAAAGTCTGAAAGATAGATACGATTACAAGAATTAGAGGCAACAACCAATCAATTACAAGAGAAAGGGGGAAAACAAGCAAATTGATATAAAAGAGGGTCAAGACGAACAAGAATTCGTGAAAACCATCGTTTATCGCAGATCAATCGTTTATCGAGATAAAAAGCTAATCGTGGATTACAAGAGAATGATAGAAAACAAGTTACGATGAAACTGGATGGCATCGATAATCGTTCATCAAGCGTGGATCGTGGAAAACAAGCCTTTATCAAGTTCGTCAGTGGCCTACAGAAATAAAAAGCTGATCGTTTCACAGGGTGACAAGCGACAGATAGAATTCAAAAATTTCAAGCGACAAAGCCTTCGTTAGAACTTAGAAGACAGCAAAAATTAAGAAGAATAAGTCGAGATCGAAAGAAGATTGATTATTCGCAGATTGGTGGGTCTAACTTAAGTGGAAGGGTGTTGCAGTTTTACTTTAAAAAAAATGCATTATGCAAATCGTAAACAAAAAATAATGTTTTATTAAAATATCCCCGTCTATGTAAATGAGAAAAAAACGTGTGAGATTTGTAGATTTTTTCATACTTTAACAGTTTTAACAAGTAGGATGTAGAACTTGTTATTCTTCGCTAGGGAGACTATGTAAATGTTGATTAAAGAAAAAGGATATATAATGGAGAAATTATGATGCGAAAAGGGGATTATTATTTTAACTAAAATTTACTTTTAATTTTTTAATTTTATTTTATTTTATTTTTTTTATGATGTTTACTATTATAATTTTGAATAAAGAATTAAAGTTGATTTTATGATTTCGTGATTCCTAATTATTATTAATTTCCTTTTTATATATATATATTTGTTTTCTATTTTTATATTTAGGTTTTGATGCACAATGACAATCTTGTCGTTGTGACAATAATTACTTTTTCTTCTCTTTTTTTGCGGCTGGCACCATATAATTAAAAGGCCAAAATAAGGGATTTAAAAAGAGAATTTAAAAAATTGTAAATAGAATAAAATTAAGGCATATAATAAATGAAAAGGGATGAGGTTAAGACATTTTTGTTTTAAAAAATATGAAAATATATTACTTTTTCTTCTCTTTTTTTGCGGCTGGCACCATATAATTAAAAGGCCAAAATAAGGGATTTAAAAAGATAATTTAAAAAAAGTAATTGTTTTAAAAAATATTAAAAAAATATTTATAAAAAATCCGAATTATAGCAACAATTATTCAATGCAATATGGCATTTCGTTGAACATTTAAGCAAGGACCCGAACCGTTATTTATAAAGGTTCAGATTGGTTACGGTTCAGTATGTAAAAAATTATAATGGTTACGTTTTGGTTACGGTTCTTGAGAAGAAATTTATTAAGGTTCGGTTCAGCTAATTATCAAAGTTTATAAAGGTTAGAAATTTTTTTTTATTGAAGCAACATCATCTTCTAATTTATTTTTATTATAAGCATCTATGAATTATATATGTTAGCGGCAATGTGAAAATTCCGGCAATGTATGTGAGGTAGTGGTAGGCAGGGTAATTTTGATATTTCGGCAAAGTATACATTGCCGAAATAACCAGGCATTGTGCACATTGCCGGGTTAAATCAGGCAATGTGTAATTTTTGTAATATTATATTATTAATAATTTTTTCGTTATTATTAATAATTTCTTAAGATTAATATTATATTTTTTTTAAAATATATTTTAATTTGTTGCAATATATTTTTTGATTGATATTTTTTTTAAATATATTTTAATTTGTTACAATATATTTTTTGATTGATATTTTTCTTATTTTTTTTTGTGTTATATGATTTTTTAAATTAATATTTTTAAATATATATTTTTGATTGATATTTTTTTTTAATATTTTTAATTTTTTGTGTTTATATGATTTTTTTAATAAATTTTTTTAAATATATTTTTTTGATTGATATTTTTTGATTGATAGTTTTTAATAAATTTTTTTAAATATATTTTTTGATTGATATTTTTTGATTGATAATTTTTAATATATTTTTTTAATAAATTTTTTTAAATATATTTTTTTGATTGATATTTTTTAATATATATTTTAAAAATGATTATGATATATTTATATTTTACGTAATTTCATCTATTATATATCTTTTGATAGATAATTATTAAGAAATAGTGACAAATGTCATAATCGTAATTTTTGAACTTTTTTGAGTTTTTTTAAACCAAATAGATAAAAATATGTTTTGTAAACATGTTAAATTAATATTTCAGTTAAAGTGTACTGGAAAAATGACAATTGTCATAATCGTTATTTTTGAACTTTTTTGAGTTTTTTTAAAGTAAATGGGTAAAAATATGTTTTGTAAACATGTTAAATTAATATTTCAATGAAAGTGTACTATGGAAAAGTGACAATTGTAATAATCGTTATTTTAGAACTTTTTTGAGTTTTTTTTAAAGTAAATAAGTAAAAATATGTTTTGTAAACATGTTAAATTAATATTTCAGTGAAAGTGTACTATGTAAAAGTGACAATTGTCATAATCGTTATTTTTTAACTTTTTTGAGTTTTTTTAAAGTAAATGGGTAAAAATATGTTTTGTAAACATGTTAAATTAAAATTTCAGTTTAGATATGTTTTATATTTTTAAGTCACTAACAGTAATATCAACAATAAAATTCCTAAATTCGCTTTTATTTATATATTCAAAATTAATGATGAGATATTTTCCTGCAAATCGTCATTCCTTGATTTGATTAAATTCAATATTTTATTAATAAAACATTTATCACTTCAAATGATAATAAATTCCACTATTATGATTAAACTTTAATCTTCATAACATCCGGAAATGTTTTTTTAATTTAATTATAATAGTAAGCCAATATAAGATTAAATTAATTGTAAGATTAATTTATTTTTCCCTAATATGTTAACTACGAAATATATTTAAAAATAGAATCCTGCATCGGTTATTTGTATATCAACTAACTATAATATCTTTGACTTATTTATTTCAATTCTGTGAGTAAATACATTTTAAATATTTATTCACTTTAGTGAATGATCTGAAATTACAAGTTAGAGCTACTATTGAAATTTAAATCTATCAAAGTATTAAATAGCTTTTCGAAAATGAATATAATTACAAAATTAATTTTAGCATTTTCAAAGTTAGCCCTCATATTTATATTTATTTTAAACAATTACTAAGATTATACACCAAACATTCTAAGTTTTTTTCAAAAAATGAAGGCCTTTAGATAATTTTTTTTACTATATTTTATACAATTATGCTAGGCTCTCTCTTTGAAGGCCTTTGGCCAATTTATGTTTTAAATTTTCCTCGGGTTTATAATCTTTTTGTAAAATATTTCTCACAAATTTTATAAGGTCATTATTTTCATTCATTTTTTTGTTACATCATATACGCACTTTTAGTTATTTGATAAGGGTAAATTCTTTATTATTTTAAATAAAATTTACCGAATCAGACACATTTGGTAAAATGGGTGGGAATTTTTTCTCCCCCCCCCCTATCATATTTATATGCTTCTTAATATTATTAAAATTTATTTTTACGCCATATTATTAACGGAAATCTGGTAGCAAGCCTTCCCTATAAGATCTTGTAAGAATTTGTATCTTCACAATAGAATAAACAATATTTACAACTCTTTTATCTATTATTAATATAAAACAATATTAATATATAATTATCATTTATTTTGACATTTATTATTTGTAGCATGACAATGTGAGTTGCAAGACATTTTAGTTGCCTTGCATTTACATCTATAAGTTGTGCAATTTTGCTTACAATGGCAATCTCTAAATCCTTGCCCAGATCCTATTGAAGACATGCCAACCATTGTTCTAAAGGTATGATAACTTGGTGGCACATCTCCAACGTTAATAAAGTTTTTTTTTTGTTAAATCAAATTGGGACCTAGCATAATGACCAGATAAATAGCCACGACTAGTTCCCAATTTATAAAATCCCTCTTTGGATTTATCCGTAATTACTGCCATCAACATTTTATGATCCAGTCTCCCCTGATCGACTACTGGAATTGGCAATAATAAGGAATCATCAATTTCCCCAGGTTTAAGTTTTTTGTCGCTTGTCATTTTTAACGCATGTTTCGAAATTTTCCTAATTTTCTTGATCGCATTAATATGTTTACGAATGATATCGTCCTCGGTAGCTTTATTTGAATAATTTTACATGATAAAAACATCACTTTATACTGGGTATAAATATATGATAAATAATTAGATGGCGAAAATTAAATCGTAATGTAGGATTTTATAGAAATTTTTTTTTAAAGAGAAAAATATTAAAGAGTTGGGATTATTTTCAAAATCAGCTGTAAAATGTTATATATTTAATAATGTATCTTAAACAAATAATATATACCAAGATCGGGAAACGAGCAATATTCTTGCTGAGAGTTAGGATTATTTTCAAATTCAGCTGTAAAATGTTATAAATTAATTAATGTATCTTAAACAAATATTATATACCAAGATCGGGAGACGGGTAATATTCTTGCTGAGAGTTAGGATTATTTTCAAATTCAGCTGTAAATGTTATATATTAATTAATGTATCTTAAACAAATATTATATTCCAAGATCGGGAGACGGGTAATATTCTTGCTGAGAGTTGGGATTATTTTCAAATTCAGCTGTAAAATGTTTTATATTAATTAAAGTATCTTAAACAAATATTATATACCAAGATCGGGAGACGGGTATTCTTGATTAAGTAAAATATTAATTGTAAAATATTATATGTTAACTAATGCATCTTAAATATATACCAGGATCCTGTGATAGATAATTTTCGCGGATAGAATTGTGTTCAAAATCACCTGTAAAATATTATATTTTAATTAAATAAAAATATATTACCAGGATCATCCGAATCTGTATAATCTACAAGATTTTGGTAAAAACTCTTATCATCATCCATATAAGCTATAATATATAATGAATTCATCGTATAACAATAATAATAAAAGAATATACCAGTATCCTCTACTGGATCTTCCGATTTTTCTGGTTTAAATAAATTTATTTTTGCATAGATATAATTTAATTATACTTGGCATAGAGGAATCCCAGATGTGAGGTTTGTGTCCAAACATAACCTCATAGGGTGATGCCTTGATTCCTCTATGATACGATATATTCTTTTGGAATTGTATCGTCTCTAAAGCATCAGCCCAACACGTTGTTTTCTTATCATGAAGAAAACAACGTAATTTATTCTAAAAAATTAAACTAAATTAATTTATTTTGTATTAAGATAAATACCATAATATCTTTATTAACACGCTCGACTAATCCATGAGGGGAGTCTTTTGGTCTTCCGTGCATTATTTTGCATCCAGGCCACATATCCACGATCTTATGGATGCTCTGAAAAAATATTCATAGTAATCGATGGATCGTTTTAAAAAACTATAAATATTTATAAATTAAATTTTACTTCGTTTTTTAATTCAGGCGTATTATCTGTGTAGAGTATTTTGGGAGCTCCAAATATATTGAATATAGAAATCAAATGTTTGGCCAAATTGGCACCCATTTTTTTTTAATGGGCCTCAAAATCTCAAACTTTGTGAAAAGATCTTTGTATACTAAAATATATTTATTTCCAAGATCAGGTGGTTGCATATCGATCACATTAATCTTAAAATATAAAAAAATTAATGTTATGTCTTATATTTATCTGTATAGTAAAATAATAAATTTAAATCTAACTTGACATCCAGCATTATAATCATCCGAAATTATGGAATTGGATAGTAATGATATCTTACTTGCACTTTTATTTAGTTGACATTCATGACATGATTGTAGGTAGATTTTAATTATTTCGCGGGAAATATTGTAATATTGAAAATTTAGAGCATTATATAATGTATCAATATTACCATGTCCAGTGCATATATGACATTGGTCAATGGTCTGATAGAGATCTTCTTCTTTTACAACTATTTTACAGCTTTTATGCATTAAAATGTTATTACTTAAATAAAAAAATTTCGAATTATAACTTTCTAAATTTAAAATAGTTTTTACATATTTTTCATTAGAAAAAATTTTTGCATTTTTATTTTTATTTTTAAAAATTTTAGAATAGTTTAAATAAATATCTTCCATGTTAAAATTTAAATTAATATTTGAGAATAATTTTTTTTCTAGAAAAATACAATAAAAATTACAATTATGATTCAAAATGGACCCATAATACCAATCTATTTATTTAAAAAAAAATAAATAAAATACTTTACTCCTTCTATCTAATTTTATCGAAAAGGAAAAAATATTTCTTTCCTAAAAGTTTTATTTATATTTATTTAAATTTTTATAAACATGTCAAAAATTTCATTAATATTTGAGAATTTTTTTTTTCTAGAAAAATACAATAAAAATTATAATTATGATTCAAAATAGACCCATATAGTGTTGTTAAACGGCTCGTTTTGAGCCGATTTTTAAAAACGGCTAACTCAATATTTCATCTAGAATAATATTACGCACGCCTGAAGATTTTGTTTGTAGAAGGAACAAAGGTTTGGACATCTATTAGCGAAATCTCGAGGCTTAGGCAATATTTTTCTGGCTAAAATATTGAGTTAGCCGTTTTAAAAAATCGGCTCAAAACGAGCCGTTTAACAACACTACATAATACCAATCTATTTATTTTGAAAAAAATAAATAAAATACTTTACCCCTTCTAATTTTATCGAAAAAGAAAAAATATTTCTTCCCTAAAAGATTTATTTATATTTATTTAAATTTTTATAAAACTTTATAAAGCACAAAATTTGTCTAATTGATTATATTTTATATAAATTTTTCTTAGTAAAAATGAATCATTATAGTAAATTTTAACATGGAAGATTTTTATTTAAACTATTAAAATTTTTAAAAATAAAAATGCAAAAATTTTTTCTAAAGAAAAATATGTAAAAACTATTTTAAATTAGAAAGTTATAATTCGAAAATTTTTTATTTAAAAAATAATATTTTAATGCATAAAAGCTGTAAAATAGTTGTAAAAGAAGAAGATCTCTATCAGACTATTGACCAGTGTCATATATGCACTGGTCATAGAGAAGAGACATTTTACATGAGCAATAAAGACGCGCTATTATAATATTACACGTGAAATTATAGACATTTACTTAAAACAATGTCAAGAATGCCAATTGAAGAAAAACAAAAAAAGTATTGGATTAGTGACCAATCCTATAATTTCAAAAGACCATAATTAGCGATGTCAAGTAAAATACAATTGAAATTGATTTTTTTTTATTTGTTAGTGTTATTAAACGTCTCATTTTGAGCCGATTTTAAACAACGACTAACTCAATATTTTAGCCTGGGCTTCGCTAATAGATGTCTAAACCGTTGTGCCATCTATGAGCAAAATCTTTAGGCTTGCTTAATATTTTTGTCCATAAAGAGTTAGCCGATTTTTAAAATCGGCTAAATTCGAGCCGTTTAATAACACTATTTTTTTGCTTTTCTTTTTTAGAGATCTTGTCCATACCTATACCATTAAGTGGCTACTTTATGGAAATTATATTTTGGTTGAGCTATAAAATTTTAGAAATCTACCTCTTAAGTTTAATGATGATTTTAGATTCGTGTAATATATTTTATTTCACATAATGAGGTTATGTTAGTTATTTTTAAAGCCAATTAAAACATAATATGTATTGACTGGCCATATACTTAAATTATTTAATAATTTTATTAAAAGTATAAATTACTTGTAAAAATATCGTTGTTATAAAAAAATATTAATTTTCATATTTTTGCAATCACAACCAGAGGGAGAAAATAAATATATTTTAGTATACCAAGATCATTTCACAAAGTGTGATTTTGAGACCATTGAAAAGTAAAACTGCAAAAGATGTGGCCGAACATTTGATATCAATATTCAATTTGTTTGGTGCGCCTTCAATTCTTCACGACAATGGAAGGGAATTTAAAAACGAAGTAAAATTTAAATTTTATTTATTTTTTTATAAAAAATAAAATAAATTTTATTTTTGCTAAATGTAAACATCATTTTAAATTATAATTTTAATTTGGGAGACAAATATTTTCTAAAATTTAGGGTTATTTTTTAATGTTTAATATATAAGAGGATAGTTAGCATTCCATGGACTCTTCAATTGATACCATTGTAATTACTATAAAGTATATCAATATTTTTTTAGACTATCCAAAAGATCGCCGACATGTGGCCAGGATGTAAAATGGTACATGGAAGACCAAGGCACTCCCAATCTCAGGGATCAGTAGAGCGTGCTAAAAAAGATATTATGGTATTTATCTTAATACAAAATAAATTAATTTAGTTTAATTTTTTAGAATAAATTACGTTGTTTTCTTCATGATAAGAAAACAACGTGTTGGGCTGATGCTTTAGGGACGATACAATTCGAAAAGAATATATCGTATCATAGAGGAATCAAGGCATCACCCTATGAGGTTATGTTTGGACACAAACCTCACATCTGGGATTCCTCTATGCCAAGTATAATTAAATTATATCTTTGCAAAAATAAATTTATTTAAACCAGAAAAATCGGAAGATCTAGGAGAGGATACTGGTATATTCTTTTATTATTATTGTTATACGATGAATTCGTTAATATATATTATAGCTTATTTGGATGATGATATAAGTTTTTACCAAAATCTTGTAGATTATACAGATTCGGATGATCCTGGTATTATATTTTTATTTAATTAAAATATAATATTTTGTAGATGATTTTGAAAACAATTCTATCCGAAATTATCTATCACAGGATCCTGGTATATTTTTAATATGCATTAGTTAACATATAATATTTTACAGACGAGTCTGAAAACAATTCTATCCACGAAAATTATCAATCACAGGATCCTGGTATACATTTTTAAGATGCATTAGTTAACATATAATATTTTACAGATGATTTTGAACACAATTCTATCCGCGAAAATTATCTTTCACATGATCCTGGTATATATTTAAGATGCATTAGTTAAAATATAATATTTTACAGTTAATATTTTACTTAATCAAGAATACCCGTCTCCCGTTCTTGGTATATAATATTTGTTTAAGATACTTTAATTAATATAAAACATTTTACAGCTGAATTTGAAAATAATCCCTACTCTCAGCAAGAATATTACCCTTCTCCCGATCTTGGTATATAATATTTGTTTAAGATACTTTAATTAATATAAAACATTTTAAAGCTGAATTTGAAAATAATCCCAATTCTCAGCAAGAATATTACCCGTCTCCCGATCTTGGTATATAATATTTGTTTAAGATACTTTAATTATTATAAAACATTTTACAGCTGAATTTAAAAATAATCCCAACTCTCAGCAAGAATATTACCCGTCTCCCGATCTTGGTATATAATATTTGTTTAACATACTTTAATTAATATAAAACATTTTACAGCTGAATTTAAAAATAATCCCAACTCTCAGCAAGAATATTACCCGTCTCCCGATCTTGGTATATAATATTTGTTTAAAATACTTTAATTAATATAAAACATTTTACAGCTGAATTTGAAAATAATCCCAACTCTCAGCAAGAATATTGCCCGTCTCTCGATCTTGCTATATAATATTTGTTTAAGATATTCCTTATGTAGCAAATTAATTTGTCTAATTTATGGATATTTAGGTAATCAAGAAAAAAATCCCTTAATTAATGAGGAACAACTAAAAGGTTCTCATAGTCATTTTGCCAACTTATCCGGTTTCTATATTCAATATTTTGCAAAATAATAAATCTTAATTTATAGAAAGCGCGCGTCAACATCTGGTTTACTCGAATGAATTGGATAATGACGGTATTTAGAAAAATATATAAAATTTAATGAAAATTATCCTTTAGGTTATCCAATCGGAGCAATGTTTAAATACAAATTCCGTCATTTAAGTTATCATTCTTTCTAAATTGATAAATTATAACTTATTTACATAAAATATGTAAATATATAAGGGGCGATTATTATAAAAACATTTTTTTAAAATATTTTTATGAAAAAAATGTTTATATTATTTTTATTTTTTAGATGCCATCGATGATGTGGGAAAAGAATTAACACAAGACAATAAATTTGTAGTATCTCATTGCAAGCAAAATTGCACAACCAATAGATGCAAATGCAAGGCATCTAAAATGTCTTGCTACTCACATTGTCATGCTACAAATAATAAATGTCAAAATAAATGATAATTTTATATTTACATTGTTTTATATTGATAATAGATAAAAGAGTTGTAAATATTGTTTTTCCTATTGTGAAGATACAAATTCTTACAAGATCTTATAGGGAAGGCTTGCTAAAATTTTAATAATATTAAGAAGCATATAAATATGATAGGGGGGGGGGGGGAAGAAAAAATTCCCACCCATTTTACCAAATGTGTCTGATTTGGTAAATTTTATTTAAAATAATAAATTTACCCTTATCAAATAACTAAAAGTGCTTATATAATGTAACAAAAAAAATGAATGAAAATAATGACCTTATAAAATTTGTAAGAAATATTTTACAAAAAGATTATAAACCCGAGGAAAATTTAAAACATAAATTGGCCAAAGGCCTACAAAGAGAGAGCCTAGCATAATTCAATAAAATATAGTAAAAAAAATTATCTAAAGGCCTTCATTTTTCGGAAAAAACTTAGAATGTTTGGTGTATAATCTTAGTAATTGTTTAAAATAAATATAAATATGAGGGCTAACTTTGAAAATGCTAAAATTAATTTTGTAATTATATTCATTTTATAAAAGCTATTTAGTACTTTGATAGATTTAAATTTCAATAGTAGCTCTAACTTGTAATTTCAGATCATTCACTAAAGTGAATAAATATTTAAAATGTATTTACTCACAGAATTGAAATAAATAAGTCAAAGATATTATAGTTAGTTGATATACAAATAACCGATGCAGGATTCTATTTTTAAATATATTTCGTAGTTAACATTTTAGGGAAAAATAAATTAATCTTACAATTAATTTAATCTTATATTGGCCTACTATTATAATTAAATTAAAAAAACATTTCCGGATGTTATGAAGATTAAAGTTTAATCATAATAGTGGAATTTATTATCATTTGAAGTGATAAATGTTTTATTAATAAAATATTGAATTTAATCAAATCAAGGAATGACGATTTGCAGGAAAATATCTCATCAATAATTTTGAATATATAAATAAATGTGAATTTAGGAATTTTATTGTTGATATTACTGTTAGTGACTTAAAAATATAAAACATAAATTGAAATTTTAATTTAACGTTTACATAATATATTTTTACCTATTTACCTTAAAAAAACTCAAAAAAGTTCAAAAATAACGATTACGACAATTGTCACTTTTTTATAGTACACTTTCAATGAAATATTAATTTAACATGTTTACAAAACATATTTTTACCCATTTACTTTAAAAAAACTCAAAAAAGTTCAAAAATAACGATTATGACAATTGTCACTTTTCCATAGTACACTTTCACTTAAATATTAATTTAACATGTTTACAAAACATATTTTTACCCATTTACTTTAAAAAAACTCAAAAAAGTTCAAAAATAACGATTATGACAATTGTCACTTTTCCATAGTACACTTTCACTGAAATATTAATTTAACATGTTTACAAAACATATTTTTACCTATTTACTTTAAAAAATCTAAAAAAAGTTTAAAAATAACGATTATGACAATTGTCACTTTTCCATAGTACACTTTCACTGAAATATTAATTTAACATGTTTACAAAACATATTTTTACCCATTTACTTTAAAAAAACTCAAAAAAGTTCAAAAATAACGATTATGCCAATTGTCACTTTTCCATAGTACACTTTCACTGAAATATTAATTTAACATGTTTACAAAACATATTTTTACCCATTTACTTTAAAAAAAACTCAAAAAAGTTCTAAAATAACGATTATGACAATTGTCACTTTTCCACAGTACACTTTCACTGAAATATTAATTTAACATGTTTACAAAACATATTTTTACCTATTTACTTTTAAAAATCTAAAAAAAGTTTAAAAATAACGATTATGACAATTGTCACTTTTCCAGTACACTTTCACTGAAATATTAATTTAAATGTTTACAAAACATATTTTTACCCATTTACTTTAAAAAAACTCAAAAAAGTTCTAAAATAACGATTATGACAATTGACACTTTTCCATAGTACACTTTCACTGAAATATTAATTTAACATGTTTACAAAACATATTTTTACCCATTTACTTTAAAAAAACTCAAAAAAGTTCAAAAATAACGATTATGACAATTGTCACTTTTCCATACTACACTTTCACTGAAATATTAATTTAACATGTTTACAAAACATATTTTTACCCATTTACTTTAAAAAAAGTTCAAAAATAACGATTATGACAATTGTAACTTTTCCATAGTACACTTTCACTGAAATATTAATTTAACATGTTTACAAAACATATTTTTACCCATTTACTTTAAAAAAACTCAAAAAAGTTTAAAAATAACGATTATGACATTTGTCACTCCTAAAAAATTATCTATCAAAAGAACATAAATATATAATAATAATTTAAAAAATATATATTAAAAAATATATATTTAAAAAATATCTCAAAAAAATATGTTTAAAAAATTTATTAAAAAGATATATTATAAAATATCAATTAAAAAAATTTATTAAAAAAATCATATAACACAAAAATTAAAAAAATTAGCGATCAAAAGATATATCAAATACAAATTAAAAAAATATATATATTAAAAAAAAATATCAATCAAAAAAATTTATTTAAAAAAATCATATAAACACAAAAAATAAAAAATATAAAAAAAATCAAAAAAATATATTTAAAAAAACATATAACACAAAAATTAAAAAAATTAGCGATCAAAATATATATTAAAAAAAGATTTCAATCAAAAAATATATTGTAACAAACTAAAATATATTTAAAAAAAATATCAATCAAAAAAATATATTTAAAAAAAATATATTTAAAAAAAATATATATTATAAAAAAAATATCAATCATAAAATATATTGTAACAAATTAAAAATATATTTAAAAAAAAAAATCAATCAAAAAAATATATTTAAAAAAATTTATTAAAGTAATAATAAATTAATCTCAAATAAATAATAAATTAATCTCAAATAAATAATAAATTAATCTCAAATAAATAATAAATTAATCTCAAATAAATAATAAATTAATCTCAAATAAATAATAAATTAATCTCAAATAAATAATAAATTTATTAATATGTAAAATAGAATACATTGCTTGATTTAACCCGGCAATGTGCACATGCCTGGTTATTTCGGCAATGTATACTTTGCCGAAATAACAAAATTACCCTGCCCACTACCTCACATTGCTAAAAAAATCTAAGATTCAAAATAACTCATTTTAAATATATTATTTGAACTTATAAGTAATATATTTTCTATAAATGGATTCCTTTTTGTACTATAAGAGCACGTTTATATAATTCTGTTCAAATTATTTCCATTTCTAAAATATAAAAACTGAACCGGTTTAACCGTTTTTTATAAAGGTTCTTTTTACTCCTTCAAAAAATAATTATATCGGTTCGATTACGGTTATGGTTCAGATATTAATAACAAAAATAAATTTTTTAAAAAAAAATATTTAAGGAGATTCGGATTCGGAATCTTTTTTTTAAAAAACAATTAAATTATATTTTTTGGCCTGGCTGGCACCAGAAAATTTTATTTTTTAGAGATATTTAATATGTATTACTTTTATGCTTTAAATCATTAAATACTCGAAAAAATGGTTTTAATATAAATTAAGTAAAAAAATAAATATTATTTTTAAATTAATAATTTAGACAAATTAGAGGAAGAGAAAGCGAAAAGAGGTACGGGGGCCTAATTGGTGGCAATAAAAACATTCACGCTTACCACACTTTGACACAAATGGTCTCTGATTATAATATGATCCCCTAATTGAAAAAACAAATATAAATAATTTAACATATTAATGATCATACCAATTACAGTTTTAACCTCGCTCAAAAAAGATCAAATGGTTCTAAATCTTTTATTTTGGGACAAAAGGTTCTTGCTTGGAACCATAAATGGTTAGATAGGAAAGGGGGGAAAATGTTGAACCCCTGGATAGGCCCTTATTTGATCAATAAAATATTTGATAAGGGTAATAATTTTATATTATATTAATTATTACTGTATATCAAGGTGTATATGAATTAATAACCACGAATAATCTCATATTAAAAACAAAATATAATTTATCCAATTTAAAAGAATTTATTGTAAGAAACAATGAATATCCAGATGAAAATGGTAATGATTTTTAAAAAATTACATTTTTTATGAAGTAAAAAAAATATTTTTAGATACAAAAATTAATATTTAATAACTTTATAATTATTTTTAATGTTTTTATTATAATTAATGCATTGCCTTTAGATAGTAGTTCCCAAAATGGCCTTTATGATGAAATTATTCCACTTGCTACGGAGTTTGTTGATCCAAACTCTTCCAGAGGTATTGTATTTAGGATATATATTTGAATTATCTTTTGAATGATAATTTTATAATTATTTTTTGAATAATAGCCTTATTATTATTTTTAATGTTTTTATTATAATTAATGCATTGCCTTTAGATAGTAGTTCCCAAAATGGCCTTTATGATAAAATTATTCCACTTGCTACGGAGTTTGTTGATCTAAACTCTCCTAGAGGTATTGTATTTAGGATATATATTTGAATTATCTTTTGAATGATAATCTTATAATTATTTTTTGAATAATAGCCTTATAATTATTTTTAATGTTTTTATCCCCCCATTTTTTATATAAATAAAATTATTATTAAATATTTTAATATTGTCGCGAATATAAAAATGGGTCATATCGGGCCCATACAAAATTATCATTATATTTTATATAAGTAAAAATAGCCGTATTTAACATTGTGGCCATCGCCCTGACTTCTGTATCAGAAGCCCATATCTGCTGTGTCATTACATTATTTAAGACATAAGTTTTTATGTCTATTTTTTTGTTCGTGTCGTAAAGATAATTTTCAATTACCTTTCCCATCTCGAATGTTAGCATAATTTGATTTATTTTTTAATTTATTACGTATACAGAATTGGATGAAGATATTTTGATAATAAATAAATTAGAAAATATCCCTAGATATTATTTTCCTACAACAAAGGTATGGAAAAAATATCATGCTAAAATATATGGTCTAAAGCCTCCCAAACGTTGTCGGGATGTAGACTATGGGAAACAACTTGGTGAACCCACCATCCTGGTGCAAATTGAAGGTGATGGGAATTGTTTTTATAGGTAAAACATATTAATATAAAATTTCATTTTATTCTACTTTATATAATTTAGGGCGATTAGTGTAGAGCTTACTGGAGCTCCAAATTCCCATGTTATTCTCAGGCAATGGTTGGCACAATTTATGCTAACATCCGAGATGGGAAAGGTAATTGAAAATTATCTTTACGAGACGAACAAAAAAATAGAGATAAAAACTTATGTCTCAAATAATGTAATGACACAGAAGATATGGGCTTCTGACACAGAAGTCAGGGCGATGGCCACAATGTTAAAAACGGCTATTTTTACTTATATAAAATATAATGATAATTTTGTATGGGCCCGATATGACCTATTTTATATTCGCGACAATATTAAAATATTTAATAATAATTTTATTTATATAAAAAATGGGGGGAGTCATTTTGAAAATGTTTTAGATTGCGATTTATCTTCCATCTAATCACTATTTATTATTTTTATTAAAAAATTTTTTTTATATAAATATATATAATTATATTTCATTCATATTATAATTTATCGCCTTATATATATATTTTTTATGAAAGTTGTAGTTTATAAATAATATTCAATTACATTCTGATATGCAATATATGATAATAATTATATATATTTCCATGATGTTTTTATTAAATTTAAAATTATGTATAAATATTTATATCAATAAAGTTCTTCGTCTATTTTCTTATACTAAATAAAGTTTTATCTAATATTTGTGACCCAATTCAGTACAAAATAATATAGAGATGGATTATCTTTATAACATTATATTAGGTAAACAAAATAAGCATTACGATTAAGCCATTTAAGCTAAGAATTTATCTTACTGTTTTTTGCTGTGATTTTTAGAGGGTTGGGTAGAAAAGGCGGTTTGCCTCTAGTAAATTTTCTGTCATATATGAGCTTTGTCTAAATTAATGTCTATCGAGAAGATGTTTGTATAAGAAATATCATGGGATCGGAGTATTTGGTTATTTTATAAATTTCATGTTGTGTAAATTAGCATGTTAGTAAGGATCTCTTCCCTACCTAAATATTGCTAAACTTTAATTATGATATTGATTGGAGCCTCCTATCAATAATTGAACTAGAGGTCTGGATTGGGTGGTTTTTTCGCCCGTACTTTAAAAAAAATATTTTCAACATTGGGCGAGAGGGTTAAAAAATTTGGGAGAATTTGATATTTTTCAGGCAAAATGATCAGAACAGTAAATAGTTTTTCATAATATTCCATATTATATGTTTAATTAAAAATACATTAAAATAAATAAAGAGCCAAACCAGCCATAAAATAATTTTAAAACAAAATATATATAAAAAAAATTATAAGTGAGAGCGAGGGCAGGTTAAATAAATCTTTTCGCTAAATTTAAAACTATAGAGAGGCGGCGACTATTTAGATAAGATAGATAAAAAAAACAATTTAAATAAAAAATGTACTCTACATGGATTTGAACACGCATTTTGAGGATAGGTAATGTAAGTCTTACTAACTAGACTACCCACCACACCTTGTAATACTTAATTTTATTTGTTATATATAATCTACTTTTAAATTAAATTTATATATATCAAAAAGAGAAATTTTATTATATTGTTAACTTTAATGATGTTAAAATAAAGATGAGCTCTTGAAATGAAACAATATATTTTACAAAGCATTACTAAAATATTATTTTAAAACATAGATTATAATTAAATATTTAGGTGTGATACCATTATTGTCTCTATATTATATTTTATATCCTTAACTTTAATGATGTTCCTTGATTTTACAGCTCTCATTATTCGACTTAATGATCTTAAAAAAATAAAGATGAGTTCTTAAAATGAAACGATATATATATCTTGCAAAGCATTATTAAAATATTATTCTAAAACATAGATTATAATTTAACAGTTAGGTTTTATACCATTATTGTCTCTATATTATATTATCATTTAAATTCATGTCATGAAAATTTTTGCATTTATCGCTTCAAAAACATTGGGGGCCATTATCATCAAAATCTCACAACCCATCCGTGTGAAAGTGATTGCGTGAGATTTCGAAATCTCACAGATCACTTTCACACGTTACACCGGGCCTAAAAAATTTTTTTTTAAATATATCCGGGCCGGGCCTAGATTGTTAAACCCGGGCCGGGCCTTAATATTTTTTATAAAAATTTTTACATTATGAGTTAATGGTTATAAGATTATATTATATTATAGTTATGATTAATATAATATTGGGTGATGGTTAACACTACCTAACAACCCACAGATCGATCTAATTATTAATTTCCAGCAAATTTATTCAAGTATATATTTTTTTATAATTCATATCTAAATTTTTAGAATATATTTTACCAAAACAATCAAATAGAGGAATATCACTTCTTAAAGTTTGTAATGCCTTTCAAAGCGAAAAGGAGAAATAAAATTGATTTTACTTAATAGAAAGCATTTTTTAATTGAAAAATTTGTTTTACACAAGTATCATTTTATTTCTCTTTTTCTCTGTCCCAAATTCAAGCAATTACGTATGTAGTCAGGGACAGATCGCAAAATGACGGAAAACTATATAAAAGATTATATTAAATTACAAGAGGCTCAGGAAGTAAATGAAATACCATCGACCAGTCAAATTACGACTGTTGTTAAACAAACTGACTCGTTTTATGACAAATGGGGCGATGGTAATTCTGGTAATATGTCAATACCCGATGATGAATATTATAATTACATAAATAATAGATAAACATTTAAGGTGGATAATTTGTTAGAGTGGTGGGCGGCTCATCAAAACGAATTTCCAATTTTAGCAAAATTGGCAATTCCTGCTTTAAGTGCAAGCTGTGAGCGGAATTTTTCCATTACTGGGAGAATTCTTGACGAAAGAATAAGTTATCTTCAACCTGAAAAGGTATATATGCTTCTCTTTCTTCATGATAATTTGTGAATTTTTAATATCTTTCTTGAGTATAGGGTTTCGTCAATCATGCTGGTTTTTTACTTTGCAAACTGTCTAATATTTATTGCATTTATTATATTTACCTTGAGTCTTGAAAGTTTTTAATCCAACATTTTTCATTATTTTTTTTACAATATTATATAATACAATTATCTTCTTTTGTTAAAAATTTATATTATAAAATAAATCATATTATTGTGCAATTAGATTATATTTTTAAAATACTATTTATTATACATGCATTTTTTTAAATAGCGATTTATTTTTATTTTATAAATTAAATAGTAAATTAAATACAATATATTATATTCTCAAAATATTTTCCATTTTTATAAATTAAATATTAGTTTTATTTTTTTTAAATGTAATATAAAATATAGTATATGACAAATATTATTACCATTTTTATGAATATTGTTTTATTTTTATAAATGCAATATAAAATATAATATATGCTCAAAATATCCATTTTTATAAATTCAATATAATATTCTCAAAATATTAGCTTTTTAAATGTATTTTTTTAATAATAAGCGATAATACTCGCTGAAAAATATGGTAAAATACCTCATAGGTGAATTTTTATATATACCAGGTCGAATATAATTTTAAAAAATTCCGAGCCGGGCCTTAAATTTTTAAATCCGGGCCGGGCCGGGCCGTAAAAATTTTTTTAAAAAATATCCGGGTCGGGCCTAAAAAATTTAAAACCGGGCCGGGCCGTGCAAATGGTACCTCTGCAGGTCTCTGACATATATAATGGATCAGGGAATAAATCCCCTTTCTTGACATTTAGATAATATTATTTCGAATATTTTTTCGTAAGATTTATTTTTTAAGGGGGGGGGGGGGGTGAGGGGGGAACTGATATATAATTGCAGAAAATTTTTTGGGGACATAAAATTTCCACCCATATTAATATAATATGCCATGAGCACTCACTTATATATTTATTTATCAAAATGAATTATTGCTAGTAGTGTACACGACTAACTAATAGTTTTAGTCAAAATATTCGACTAAAAACTTTAGCAACTAAATTAGTCTATTAGTCGACTAATTTGGTCGACTAATTTAGTCGACTAAAACGACTAACATAGTCGACTAAAACGACTAATATAGTCGACTAAAACGACTAATTTAGTCGATTAAAAGAACTAATTAAGTCGACTAAAAGAACTAATTAAGTCGACTAAAAGAACTAATAAAGTCGGCTAAATTAAGTCATTAAAC